GCGACGGCGACAACACAGCCGCCAGACCGACAGCCGGGCCCAGACGACGGGCGGCGACGAGTCGGCGACTGTGCGGCGACGGCGAGAACGTAGCCGCCAGACCGACGCACAGGTCCAGACGATGGGCGGCGACGAAACGGCGACGGGGCAGCGACGGCGGCAACATAGCCGCCAGACCAGCGCGCAGGCCCAGTTCCTCAGAAGACGAATGAGGGAGCCTATAAGTGCAAGCGCTGTTTCGGGAACAGTGGTTCTAGATACGCCAGATCTACCGACAAGAAACGTTATGAACACTTATATGTTGTAGACCCATCACCCATAACTTGGCCCGAGGCATCGCATATGCCAATTAGTTGTACTTTACAACCCGAACAACGACGACTTAAGAAACCTGGGCCAACTCTCCCGAAATTTCTCAACCTACGCCTGGGCCAAGTGTTCGTGTTACCGCTGGACGTGCGAAGGAGATCAAGAAACTGGGCCAGCTGATCGGAAAGTTTGTAGGTAAATGAGAACATACTAGGCATACTGGGCCACAAACTGTATAGCTGTACATCTACATGCACATGTGTATGGCATGCCGTATGCCCATGCCGAAACAAAACACATTCAGGTGGATTTATGAGTTTTGATACCGTGTACGTTGTGTATGTCGCAGGGTACGTATTGGTAAGAAACCATCATAAATCAAAAGCGGTGCCCACCAACCCCAACTTTCCTTGCCACCCGTAGGGTGGCCCCATCGAAAAAGCGTAGTTCTATACAGAGCTCGGCAGCTAGACCGTAGGTAAGACAGAAAATGAAATAGCTGCAGAAGTATGTAGAGAACTTCTCATAGAGGTAATCTGGTTCAAACTAATATTGGACTGCACAGGCCCACTACAAGCTCCCGCCGTCTTCCATGCGCTGGACAGGCACCGTCTGTCAGGCAGTATCCTGATTCGACGCGGAGCCAATTTCAAACCGAAAGCTGCCCACCCTTGCCCCCCAAACAGCTCATCAACACACGACGGGCGGTCTACTGGGTGCACGGAGGCAAGTGCTTTCTATGGCCGGAGCCACTAGAAACGCCAGCCAGCCCAGGCAGTTTCTTGCAGCTGCTTTCTTGATTCCTCCCGCTCGGAACGCCGTTCGAGACGAAATCATCCCTGGAGAGCTCGTGGCGAGGCGCAGCGAACAGTGTTCACGACGCGACGCCCCCCTCCATCCTTCGAGGACTCTGCGATTGCCGCACGCCTTCCCCTTGTCGCTTCTCACGCGCGTCCGCCTGTGATGCGCTAGTGGATCGCACATTGCGCTCGAAGTGCCGTCGTCCCTATCCGCCTCCCGTTCCTCCTTCGCCAATCCTCTTCCATTCCCCCCCTTCCCCCTTCCCCCTTCACCCCGGCCACTTCTCCTCCTCGCTTCCCTCCTCTGTCTGCGGATGGGCGTCCTCTCCGGGCTCCCCCAGAAGCGGCCGTGCATTCGTGTGCTAGCTTTTGTAGGCTCTGCTCTGTGGCGGCGCAGAGAATGCTTATCGCTTCCCTCCCCGCGTATGGCGGCTGGCGTGTAGATCATGGCTGTGTGAGTTGCCTCCGTCGAACATACAACGGAAATCAGCGTGGGGTGGTGTTATGGGGCGACTGGCCATTCGACATTAGCATGCTGACAAGATATGAGGGCCGCGTTTGCTGAACGCCTCTACACCTGACCACCCCATTACCTGCGCGCTCCTCTGGCCATTACTCTGACCAATACCTCTGATTCCTGCCCCGTTCCCCACCCCCGTTCCTTCCCCTCCGACTCCAATCCCGCAATCCCTTCCGCCATGGACCCACCTCCAAAACACTGAGACGAAGCCAAGACTGGGACAACATCGGACCAAAGTAAGTCGGAGATCTCTGAGATCCGGTGGGTTTCTGGAGGATGTATCGGGCGCCGCGGCCGTTCCAGACTGCTCCTGAAGGATCTGAAGGCGTTCCAGAGACCTCAGATCCGACGTTGCGAACAAATTGCAGCATAGCGCGAAATCACGATTGCGTCCCGAGACTGGTGACTGGAAAAAGCTGTGATGGCCCCTGGGCCCGAAACCTGGCGAGAACGCCTGGAGTTTCAAAACATGCAACGCTCGTATCTCGGGGTGGGAGCGCTCTGGAACCATCTGTGCTGGTCCATGCCCCGCCCAACTACACACCCTCGTCCCCTCCCCTCTGCCCTCCCGCGCGCAGCTCCTGCGAGGATGTTCACCTCGGCCAGTGCGCTTCAGCCGACGCACCCAGAGACTCTCAGGCGCCCCGGGCAGACGCCATAGGCCCAAAGGTCGGCATGGCGGCGGCGATGCCCCGCGCCCATCTGCGAGCCCAGCAGGACGGGCCGATCAGAGCCGACTTGTCTGGCCACGGGATTGCGGCTGGCCGTTCCCACGAAACGCCAAGAGCGGCACGAGCGAGCGGAAGCGCCATAGGAAACAAATGGCACGGACAGCCTCATGCCAGGCGTCCACGTCGAAGCAGCGGTCGACGATCGATACGACCGCAGGCGGCGGAAGCGTCAGGAGTCCCCTGTGGCCAGGCTGGTGGGGCAGACAGGCAGTCGGACTACCCAAAGCGTGCAGGAACGAAACGACCGAACAGTCCGGATCAGCTTACATCCTTACACGCGTCTACGAGTGAGAGGACCCCCAGCCAGCATACACCAAGCCACCTCGCGGTTAGCAGCCAGCATCCAGGAACAGCGTAGACGAATCGGCCTGCGGGCTGCGCTTTGGGATCACCCATCGTGGCAGCTTTCGCTCGCGATTTCTTTTACAAGAAGACAAAGGCGAACCCGAGGGGGACGTGAGAACGGGCGGACCTTCTCAGTAGGCTCGGAAGTCCCCCGGCCTTCTGAGAAGTTGTACAAGCCTTCCCCGAAGACGTCGAAAACTCCTCAGAAGGCCAGAAGGCTTCCGAGAAGCCCCCCGCCGCCTTCTGACATCACCCTCTCCCTCTCGCTTCCCCCCCTCCCTCGCCGCCGCAACGCGCCACTGCACATCAGCCTGTGGATTACTCGTGGATGTCGTCTGGGAGCCAGCGGGCCAGCAAAAAGCTCCAAAGGAGGGGGGGAGCCCACGCGCTCGGCTGAAAGGGTGGCGTGCCCAGGCCCGCCGTGCTCGGCTCGCCCCCGAACCCGGACCGATCGTGGAGGTCTGCGTGCTGGCCTCCCCCTGGGGTTAGGTCGGACGTGTCCCCCTACAGGAGGATTTTCGACGAGAAATGAAAAAAATATCCCGAAAAGGTCAAAACATACTCAGAAAATAATCCCCAGACTATTTTTGGACTATTGTTTGATTTTTTTGTCGGAATATTTTTAATTTTTCGTCGAAGATCCCCCTGTAGGGGGACAGGCCCGACGTAACCCTGGGGGCCAGCCGCCAGTCGTGTCTTTCCTCGGCGGTGCGCCGAGTGGAGACGTCGGGGCGTCCCAGAAGGCTCAGAAGGCCTCTGAAAGGCTGTCTGGGCCTCCTCCGAGGCCAACGAAGGCTTCCCAGCAGGCCGGAGAGCTGCCGAGAAGCCCCGCCGCCCTCTGGAAACGGCTGCCCCCCTCACTTCCCACCTCGGCGCGCCGCCGATTTCCTGGCTGAGTAGAGGTAGGCTGAGCTGAGCCAAACTACGCTCAGCTCAGCTTAAGCCAGGCTACTAAGCACAGCTTAGTGTTGACTCAGACTGAAGGTGAAACGATGTAGGCTTGCCAGCGCTATGTTGTCGTAACTATTTTTCAACTTGGCTGACGCAACTACGTCACCTCGAAGTCCTGCTTGGACTGTGATCAGCTTCTGTTTGACTGGTGCCCTTCTTCCACGCTTCAGCCATAACCCTCCACTCGCCCTCTCACGACATCTCCATTACAGCTCGCCTACGAATCGTTTCTAGCTGGCAGCTGGGGCATCTGGGGCTCAGCACGCATGATGGACATGAGAAGACAGAGGACAATCAAGCCCGCCCTGGCCAGGCGAGCAACCCGACCATCGATCGCGACCACGTTCTGCGCCGATCAGGCCCAGCCAATACAGGCCTCCCAGATGGGGTCGGCGTAGATGGGGTCGGAGGATCGCGCCGCATCGCCGATGCATCGGCGATGCAGGCGACGTCGGCGGTGCATCGGCGCCGCCGGCGTGGAGGAAATGAGATCGGCTCCGCATCGAACCGCGCGGCGCCACTCTCCGACCCCATCTGCTCAGATCCCATCTGGGAGGCCCGGGGCCGAGGCGGGAATTCATCCACATCCACCGCCTGGAGGGTCCGTGTTCGGAGCCTCGGCAGGCGGTGGGTGTGGACACATTCGGGCCCCGGGGGGCCGAAGTATAGCCACGTCCACCACCCGCCGGGGCACCGAGACGTCGGCTCCCAGGCGGTGGGTATGGGAAAAAGTCCCCGCCTCGCACCAGGGCCAAGCTCCCGCTCGCCGTCGCTCGGACGTCCATGTCCCGTGCATTTTTCGGTTTCGTGCGTGTTTTTTTTTTTTTTGCTCGATGGTCCAGGTCGGTACTCGATGGTTCTCGCCGAGACAAAATGCACACGTCCGAGCGATGCCAAGCCCGCGCAGGCTCTGGCCGCCGGGGCCGAACAGCAGCGGGCAGCCGCGCAGAAAAGGGAGCCCGCCTCCCAGAGATGAGGGGGAACTGGGGCACACACACAAACAAATACACACAAACAACAACATATCCCCCATGTTTTCCCATATATGTTCTGGGTTTTTGTCTTCCCCCCCCCCGCTTTCCATGTTTTCCCACATGTTCTGGGAAGCGCCGATGAATTGTGTTTGTGTGGTTGTTCCCCTCCTGACAGCCGCGGCGACGAGGGCCCTCCAGTGCTCCCCAGGACGAGCAGCGGCAGCGGTGTCTCTTCCTCCTCGGACTCCTCTGGCTCACCCGCCCCAGACCCCCGACGCCATGACTTTTTCATGACGTCGACCCCCCGAGAGCCCGGAGCAGGCGCGGAGCTCGCGAGGCGCGGCCCCTCCCCGCCGCGCGGCGAACGCGC